AAATTTAGTGGCTTCTTTGTTCTGGCATGTTAAGGAATTTGGTCACAATTCATTGACTTACATCATATTTTGAACAGAAGATGATAACCAGATTTATAAACATCAAGTAATTAAGTGATTGGTATTTTTCATTTCTATCTCATCTTAAGGCACAGCACAATGGACTTGCTAGAAGCATTAATTATTTAATTAGGAAGTTTGTATCAAAACCAATAGTATATCCCTCCCTTTAGCTTACACTCCTGGAGATTTTCAAGGACTAGAAAAAACAAACTCTTGCAGTACCTTCAAAAAAAGTGAAACTGACAAAATTTTCATGTTGCGATGGTAGATATTAAGTATTTTTATTACACATGGCAGAATTATGAGACTGTCAGCTCAGAGGTGTGGAAAATCAATTCTTCTGAAGATGTTATCACAACAGCTCAAACAAGAGGAGAACCACGAGGTCCTTCTCAGCAGATCCTGTATGACTGTTATGTAAGTTCATGAAAACAATTAACCATAAACTATGTAATTTGGTATTTTCAATTGCATTGGCAATGTTAATTGGCCACCCTAAAAGAGTTTCAATGCTGACATCTCAAGCGTTAGCCCTTTCGTCAGTGAGAGTGAATGACGAAGGGCTAATGCTTGTAACGAACCCTTCTCTTTAGAGATTTACCCCCTTTATTCAACCGTAAACTGTGTTGAATGAATCACCAAATTGTGATGTCTCATGTGAAAATGATAGTTGAAAAGTATAGTATTACATACTGTATAGAGTAATTTATTTTTAAATTCACCTAGGAGGAGGACTTGGAGAACACCATGAATTATGACAGGAGAAGAGCAGGGTTAGAGACAAAGATTCATCTTTTGTCAGAATCACTGGAGAAACAAAAGAAGACAAGAGATGGTAATATGGAACTATAAATTAATATCACCCTCTATCATATTTTCTTTCATACTCTCACTAAAGAAATTTAGACGTGTGGAACTACAGTACTATAAGTTTTCTTTTTTAATTTTTTATGATCACAGTTTATTTCAGTCAGTAAGATGGTGGTGGACCAGCATATTTTTTGGAAATATTTATTCTCAACCTCAATTGTGAATGGAGAATATTATCATGGGCTGCTTATAAATAACTTTAATAATTTAGACTCAACTTCTCCTAATTCATATGTAACTTGACTTCTGTAAACTTACAATTAGTCTCTTTTCATTTAGGGATAACTTCTCTCTTTGAGGCATACTCTGCAACTCCTGATTACTGTAATGAAGAAGGCCAACAAGATGTTGCCACACAACTGATACATGTAATATATTACCTCAGTCTGATATTAACTTCCTGATTGCTAAAGTTAACAAATCTTATTTTCTTTATCAACCTATTATTTAAGTTAAGCTGCATGTGTTGTACTTTCCAGGCAAATGCTATAATAAATAGTTTAACAGCAAGTGTCAGTAAAGTTCAATGTGCCCTGGCACAGTTGAATGGTCACCCTGCACCAGATGTTTGGTTAATGCCATACATATCAAGCACCAAGGATAAACAGGCAAGTTCCCTCTCTTTGTTACCTTTTTACAGATAGTTGACTACTCAGAACAGGCTTCTTACAATATTTGACATCCATATCAAGTACTGGGTTGACAATGGATTGAAAGATCTTCCATTGCCTTCTGGTGCAAGGTGATTTTGTCTTGTTCTTCCAGAAGGACAGTTAAATGAGTCTCTTAAAGTGTGTCTTACCAACTAGAATTATGAAAAGGTTTTGGCAAAATTGCAATATTTCTACTGTTTGATGGGATAGTTTGAGTGCACCAGGTGATTCATTAATACAAGGGCATATTTCTTGGAGTTTATTGCAGTTTTGTTCCATAGGCAGCTGGTGACATGTTCACCTTTTTGCCTCACTCCCATACCCCTCCAGGAAAACTAAATCATGTTTTTAAATTAAGCACGAAATTAATCGGCCTTAGAACAACTGGGCTCTGATTTCTCACCCATGCTGCTTCTAATGACACCCACTATATGGTTTATACCCTCTCTTTGAATAATAAAGGAACTACTAGTAAGAAGTATTAGAGCTTAGTTGTACCTCAATTTATGGTCTCTAATATAGGGCTTACTACAGAGTTCTCTCTATATTCCACTTGATCAAGTAACAAGAATGGAGTCTGTCACACAGGATGAGGGAGACAATAGAAGTAAGAAACTACATATCCAGATCAATATCAGTATCTGGGCAACTGCCCACCTACCCCTCCCCTAACTCAACAACAGTCAATTGATAACAAGTTAGGGTTAATGCTGGGTTAGGGGAGGGGTAGGTGGGTAGCTGCCCAGATACTGATATTGAATCCCATCATCCTTAGTGTTTTACCATATTGGTCTACTAGATTAACTTGACTCAGGAGTACAGTCTTTGGCTTTAACCTTTACACCCTAACATCAGAATGCATATTCTCCATACTGTTTACTGTACATTCCCTTAAGTGCTGACAGGGAGAATTTGTTAACAATCAAGAGCTCCTTTAGTTACTGATCATTTCCTTTATTTCCATGACCTTAATGTGTGATTCAGGCGTAATATTGTGAGGAGAATTTAGATGCTAGTCACTCTTAAGTGGTCAAAGGGTCAAAAGACATAATTATGCTAGTTCCAGACACTTTCACCCCAAGGACTAGGTTTACCCAGAGACTACAGTGTCATTAAGACTACGATATGATTAAGACTGTCAGTCATTTCATGGGTCCTTTGCCTTGTGATGAACCAAATGTTATGACTTTCTGTTTTGAGCTTTAATTACTATATGTGGAATCAAAGGGATGTATTGAGACCTCTGTCCTTTAATTATTTCAGGTGATGATGAATTTGATGATATTCCAGAATCAACTGGTGAGTTTCAGTGTGCGTTCAATAAGTTTCTCTCTAATGTAGCTCAAGCAAAACAATGAGAACTGCACATGATCATGGGGAGACCACAGGGGGAATCTGCGCCATTGAAGCTGAGTTCTATTAATGAAAAACATGATACATGGTTGCCTGTTGATTGGCACACTAGATTCATGTTCAAACTTTGCCTAGTATCATCATGTCGCCTTTGTGTTCTTTGAAATATTTAATATTGTGGTTGGGTTGGAAGGAGCCTGGAGATGGGCACGTTTTTCTGGAAAGTTGAAGATTTTGACTGACCTTGCTGTCAAGATGAATAACTCAATCACATATTAAAAGATTTTGTATTTATTGCTTTTAATTAGGGATATGCAGATGCCGTGCATTGTATGAATACAAGGCAGCTCATAGTGATGAACTTGATATATTACCTGGAGATATTATCACACTAACGGCTAAAATGGATGATGGATGGTGGCAAGGAGAACTTCATAACAAAACAGGCATATTTCCTGCCAGTTATGTGGAGGAGATTGGATGACCAGATATTTCATATCAAGAGAAAAAAATATAGCAAATTTCTGGTTTTTGCTGTTTAATTAATTGATTTTGGGACATGGAGCTTTCATAGCAGGTGAATGCCCCATTTGCTGTTTACTTGTTCCAGGGTTTTGATATTGAGATTATCTAATTTGGTGCAGCCACAGGGTGTATTTCATTGAGTCTTTGTGGCAGATTTTCTACCATTCACATTAAAAAATTTGCAGGGTTATAACTGGAGACACCAAGTGATATACTTAGCCCAGTGAGAAACAAGAAAATAAATGAGGAAAGGCATAGCTTTGTTTGTACTTAAAAAACATTGCCATGGCAATTTAAGCATTTTTTTTTAATGTAGCTGTTACACTAGCTCTTAAAAAAAAAGAAACCTTTTTTAGCAGTGAATACTTAATATAAAGCCTTAATTATGTTCCATGATTTAGTTTTCTAGAAGCCTCGTCAATGGATTTAGAATTCATTGTGTAATTTTAAGAATGGCCAACTGAACTAAATGATAAACAAAATATAGAGATTTAAGGTTCCAGCAACAGGGAAAAATTTCTTGTCAATGAACAAGGATATGTTCTGTGGATGTATTCTTGTGGGAATGATCATATATTGCTGATTGCAATCTTTTAATTAGTTCAATTATATGCTTAATATATTCTTATTTAGTAATGGTGTCTTTAATTCCAGGTGATGTTGATGTAAGTATATTGGAGTTCAAAGCTATATTGTTATAAACTTTTTTTTAAAATTTTTCACAAATTAAAATTTTTAACCTGATAAGAAAAATTTTATGTTGTCCAATCATGTGGTTGATGAGAGGCTTCATGTACAGGCAAGCATTGATTAAATTCAAATGATGTTTGAGGTGTTAACCCTTTAAGCCCTGGTATCAACATGTATATTCTTGTGACTGTCCTCCATAAGTTTCTTATTTTACTGATTAAGAGAATTTGTTCAAACGTCAAGACACTTCATCTTTGGTGATCATTTAATTCATTCTCATGATCTGTACATTTGATCAGACAATGATGTTGTTAGGAGAAATTAGATGCTGATCACTATTGGGGCTTAAAGGGTTAATTGGATTGCTAATGCACCATAACCAAACTCAATTACCTCTTCTTTGAACATTGAAGAAATAAATGTTAAAGTTGCTCTGTTTCTAATATTTATTTTCAAGGATTGTTCAGTTTAATATGGCTCTTTATTTACTCTTGCACCAACAAACAATGATCCGGGAGGATATAAGGTCTGTAGAGATCTGGGAAACACACTACAAAACACTACCACCACCAAATAAGACAACTGCCAAGACAGATTTTTTCCCTCTTATTTAATCTTAGAAGTCAACAACAGTTCTAAATAGTCAAATGAATAAAGGGGGTATGTTTGTAAAGAAACTGGTGCTGCATCAGTGGGAGAGTATAACAGGGTAAGCAAGTGAGTCGATAAGATAAATTGGCCACCATAAAGAGTTTGAAAGCTGATGTTTCAAGCATGAGCCCTTCATCAGAGCAAACTATTTGACATTGTGGATGCAAAATTTAAGGCTTTTTCTTTCTCTATACAATTTCCTTTATTTGCTTTTGCAAGACTCAAAATGTGACAATATACAGCTAAATCTTGGGAAATGGATTCCATTGTGCACCTATTTCCTGCATTTCTCTAGTTAGGAATTCTGAAATTCACAAGTCTTTTTATGGAAAGGAAAAATTCCCTACCAGTGATTTTCCAATTTTTATATGTCAGGAAATATAATTTGCAGATTTCCATTTAGAATTCCTGACCTGGTCCTCGAATCATGTAATGTTGTTTCACTCCGTGTTAGGTGCTGAAGATGTACTAAAAAGCATGAAAAATTACACACTCCTTTAGAGAAGTTTCTTTTATACACTCTTTTATCATGGCTAAATCCCACACTGCAATTTTTATATACATATCTTCATCTGAGTTGTAGATTGAATGTCTAATTTTTTGTTTCTACCAAATCTTTAAATTTTCTCCTCATGGCAACAACAAATGCAGAGAAGTTATTTGTGCTGTTCAGCTTTTCCACCATCTCAGGAAGTCCTTTGACCTCTGGCATACAATCCTTCACTGTAAATAAGAATTGACTATTATTATTTGACTCTGCACTACAGTGGATCTTAATTAGTCAACTTTAAACATTTAATATGTTTAACTAATACATAGATTGGCCATTTTGAATTTGTCATTTAGTTGCCATTTTCAACTGACTTTTCTAGTCTTCATTAAATACTGTTCTAAGTAATGCTAAGATTTGTTAAGAAGAAGTTGGATCAGACAAGCACTTGGTGTAAGCAAAGGATTATAGAACATGATTGTAACAACACGATGAACATTTCAGTGACTGAGGGTTTTACCATTGTACTTGTCCAGACTGGTAATTGCCACAGTGAAAACAAAGGGCCTATCTTCATCTTTTGGGTCAATGTACTTGAACACAAACTGTAAATGTTCCTCTGTGAAGTGGAAGAGGTTCAGATCACTTTTATTAAGTATATTGATGCATTCATTTTTGTTATTTTTTTGGTTGGGGGGGGAGGGGGGGGGGGGGGTGGGGTATAAAATGGAATTTGCCACTAAAGCCATTAGCCTAAATAGATAAGGAGATAAATGTTTATTTATAATCGCTTTGCAACTGAAAAATTGAATTACACGATTATTACAGAAGATAATAACACTGAAAAGAACTATCGGTAGTTTAAAGCAAGTTTGTACAAAAATGTGTTTGTATATCTTACGTTTGTAAATAAAAAATGTCGATTAAATTCTAGTAAAAAAGTTTAGGCTGTAAGGGCATTAAAAATGATAAAACTTTTGCGAATTATTTGTGTCTTGAACACAGGTCTAAACTTCCGTTTGTTTCTAGGGTTCAAAGTACTTGTGGTACGAGCAGTAAGAAGGTCATGGAGCTTGTTCGGTTCACTTTGAATAATGTTCATGAATAATTTATCAACTAGTTCCTAACGGCGGTCTGAACGTTTCATTCGGCCTGATCCAGCCAATGCCTAATTATTTGAGTTAAATGGTAAGATGATGCGCGTTGCTCGCTTTTGTACTCTTTAGTACCAGGTTACCATAATCCAGTCCAACTTACTAATGCAATATTAGCAATTTTTTAAAATGCTTTTAATAACCTACCATCCACCTTCTTGAAGGATAATCCCAGTCTTTCTTTGAAGTACTCGGTTCCTTTGGTAAACTGTTTAATCTTGTACGATGTGCTCTGCTCCTTAGCAGATACTGCTGCAAGAGTTCATTTGACCACTGGCTAATTTACAACTGAGATTATTAGTCTCCTGTCAGCTTAGTAGTACTCAGTGTGGCTTGATCTTGGTTAAAAACTCGTAAAGTTTCTTTGTAGATGTGTTGAAAACTAAGCAAGTAAGTATGATCTAAGCATGTTTGACAAAGGTGTCTCTCGAGACACTTCTCACCGCAGAAAAAATAAAATTTTTCTATCACCTCCATTTTCACTACTCTCCATCTTGCAAAACGCGGTTTAACTATACAAGTAATTTACGTACCTTCTTGTTGTTTGCGGAGTTGACACTCGGTTTCTTCAAAGTGTTTTTGATTTTGATTCCTTTGTTCTACCAAGCGTTCCGCTGAAATCTGTAATTCTCGCAGTTCTCGTTCCAGATTGGCAACTTCTTCAGCCCTCTGCCGTAGAACTACAAACATGTCGGAAACCTTTGATTTAGGTCTGCTTTTATCAATTTCATCGTTTAGAAGTCAGGTCAGAAGTAAACACGATAACTTCGTCTACTTGCGTCTTACCTTCTAAATTCTTCTCACTCTGAAAATGATACTGATTGATCGTCTCTTCTAGATGCCTCATCTCCTCTGTAAGTTGGGGGTTATAAGAAAATTTGGTAATTTTATAATGCTGTTTCATTACAATCTTCGTTGTAAACACATTTACCTTTCCCTTTCGCTAGTATGTTTTCGTGATTCTCTTTATCCTCGAGACGAGCTTTTCGAAACGATTCCCCAGTCCAATCGTTAAGGAATTTATCTTGTACTTTCTTCAAATTTACAGCTAAATTTTCCAGCTCTTCTTTCGTAACAGATCCCATTTTATTTCGTTGTGAAACTCGAGGATTTTTTTTTCAGTGGGAAAAGTTCGCGGTGAAATTTCAATTTTCAGTTTCAACCAATTAAATTTCCTCATTAGATCACGTGCCTATTGACTCCGCCGAATAGCCCACGTTTATTGCTGGCTCACTGTCGTCCGCTATCTTGTAACCTTTGAGGCTGAGTAGGGAGCCCACAAGATGCGCAAATTAAGAGTTACTAAATACGTATTGTAGTTATTTTTAAATTAAAACTGTTATAGATGACCTTAAATCTTGCATAATGACACAACGAACTTAATATTTTCGACGAGCTTTCCACTATGAGCACGGCAAACTGGCAGGTATTGTGGTCTCCAAACCAACACGACAAGTTTATCACCTTCGGAAGTGAAATATGTCTTTACAAAGTCAGCAGGTCTCAGGTAAGGTGATATATAGAGAATTTTGCATAATTTTCCTTGATGGAAGGCCAGTTTTTAGAATAAAAGCAAATTGTTATTTCGCCCATCGATTATAGGATGGTCATGTGCCTAAACAAGTCCTACGGAAAATTTAGGGGGTGGTACTTGGTGGGTTAGACATATCAAAGTTCACTTTCATTCAACGATCCAAGTATCAGGAAAAAGATTGTGTCAAACACTTTTTCCTAATGTCCTGGGTAGTTTCTTGCATATCTTTCTCCAAAAAATACGCAGAAGTCTCTACAATGATATCCTTAGATCATCAAAGCATCAATAAAAATTTGCAGCAATGTACACTATATTAAACATTTTTGTTTCTTAACTGACTGGTTTCAGGAAAGTCCACCAACGGCTGCAGGTGTAAGAAGCCAAGGTATATAGTTTTACCTCAGTCTGTTCCTTGCCAACTTATGCCTTGCATTTCAATATTGTCCTTAGTTCAAGCTTTTGTTAATATGAATTTTCACTTGTAAAATATTTTATATCTTTCTTCTTATGATTTCAGTAATGCATCTTTCTGGAGATACCTATGCATCACTTTTATCTGTTGTGAATGATATACAAAATTTAAAGGTAACCAGTTCAATTAAAAGCTAAAAATATATATTTGTTTTTTGGTTCACTTTATGTTTTGATTGTCCAAAACCTTCCTTATTAAATGGTTTGAGTGACTAAGATATAATTTCTCCTTACAGTATCAATACAATATGAGGCAGACAATATCAAAATTTCCAAACTTACATCATAGGAATTGTGTGGCAGATAGTAAGGAGAATTGCTAATTAGATCTGGATTTCAATGCATTGTGTTCTTCTCCTGGGAAGACATTTTACTCTTCAAAGTTCCCAAAATCACTGATCATTTGGGATTTTCCCATACATATGAAAACCACCCTTATCTCATCTGGAAAACACCACAGAAATCAATTCTGATGTTTACTTCTGCCATGACTGAAAATGGTAGTCACTATAACAGACAACATTTAACTTTTCAGGACTGCTTTCTCCTGCACTAGTTATAAAACTATATGTCAATCAAACATTATTCTGTTTACTATAAGTTCTGGCCAGGTTGGCTACAAGTAAAAGTGTTTTCTGTGTTTTCACAGTGTGTTGCTTGGTATCCAAAATCAGAACCAGAAAATTTATTAGCAGTTGGACAAGCAAATGGAAGAGTTTTAGTCACATGGTAAGAATTAACAAAACGTGTTTCTATAAATGGTAAAAAACAGTGGATACCGACATTCATTAGGAACAACTTCAGGAGAATCATACAGCAGCAGACTGCAAAGAGAACATGTGAATAAAAGGGGTAAATTTCCAAAGAAACTGTGGTGCTTGGTTGGTGGGAGAGTATAACAGGGTAATTTAGTATTATCAACTGAGTTGATAACATAAATTGGCTGCCCTATAGAGTTTGAAAGCTGACATTTTAAATGTTAGCCCTTTGTCAGAGTGATTGATGAAGGGCTAATGTTTTTAAATGTCAGCTTTTAAACTCTTTATGGTAGTATTATCAACACAGTTGATAATACTACTTTACCCTGCAAAGGGAACACATCTTCAAAATGTGTTAATCACAACTGTTAAAAACCAACTTGCCATAGTATTGTGCAATGCTTCAGAAAGTGAGGAATGCCATGACTGGTGGACCTCGTTCCTAGGGTTGTCGCTTAGTAAAGATCATCCACAGGAACTATTAGCAGGTGATCATTGGTAAAGTAATGCAAGCACTTCTGTGGTTACATAGTATTACCATTGTTTGATATCCAAACACTATCTTCGAGCCATCATGCTTGAAATTTCAGTTTCTAAGCTATAACCCTGAATCCCTTGAGCAATACAACTGAAATGTTGTTTTCATTCTTTGTTTGAGATAAAAAAGTGAAAACCACCAAGTTATTAATCATTTTAACTTACAGCAAACATTTATATAAATATGGCTGAGTGATATTTTCTCAGGCACATTGTTCACAATGAGGTAAACATCGGTCACTTTTCAATGGAAACAATTAAAAGTAAATAATTTGTTAATTACTTATCATTATTGTCTTCTCTTTCAGCATTGGAAGAGAAAGTAATCAGTCAAACCAAAGAATTTCTAGAGAATTTGGTAAGAATCAGTTGATTTCAAACTTACAAATGCCGGGATTATGAAATTAGTCATGTTGTGTTACTTAGTACTTTCTTTTGAAAGTGTGACAATAAGTGGTACAGGTAGTTTGATATTTTGTATAATTGTGAAAGGATTTCATCAACTGTTATTACATGATATTGATTAAAAATTTAAACTTTTAAGTCCCCAGGCATTCACGGCAATGTAACAGCCTTGCATGGAATCCTGTTGAAAATAAATTGGTATGTTAATTATCTTCTTGATGAGGTCACAAGGGATTGGTCTAGGTACAACTTTTAACCCTTTTATTCCCACAAGTGACCAAGAAAAATTGTCTACTCACAATTTCAATATGATATCAAGCAGACAAATGCTGAGAATAAAGACAAATATCATTTAGGAGATTATTGCATGTCCAATATCAAATCCTCTTAGTTCACATCATCAGAACTGAGCCCACTAAGGAGAATTATCAGCAAGATTTTGGGAGTGAAAGTGTTAAGGCTCAACAAATGTCAGGCTACCGGGGGCTAATTTCAAATTTCAGCTAAAAGGAGGGGTGCTTTTTGGAATAGCAGGGCTTAATCTAAGGGGATGCTTGTTAAGGTAACCCAGTAAAAATTAAAGAACAGATAGCATATATAATACAAACTCTGAAAGCACATAGAGATAGAAATAATAGGAAGTGACTTAATGCTGTAGTTGAAGCTTGAAAAATTGTAATTAAAGTAGGAATAGAAACAGGTTTTTTTTAGGTATCCCTACAATTAAGATGGTGAAGGTGGGGGAAGGTGTGCTCACTTGAGAGGGTGCTTGCATGACTCAATGTCCAAGGGGGAGGGGGGGGGGGAGGGCTCATTCAAGGGAGAGCAACTATTCAGGAAATACAGCATTCAGACCTAGGGAGACACCCTCTCCCCCCCTTCACCTCTACCCCTACCAAGTCTTGGTAAATGTAAAAGTAAATGTAAATGTAAATGTAAATGTAAATGTACATGTAAATCAAGAATGGGATGGGTACAGCACAATTTTATCAAAGACAAAGGCAAAAACACACCTGAGCTTAGCAAGCATAGGCAGAAAAAGAGAAAACTGCACTACAGATTCTTAGAATGTGTTTGCTAGACACATTTTCATCTTCATCTTAGATTGCCTTTATTACTTATATGCAATCCCTCCAAAATTCAGGAAAGTTGTTTTACCCTGGCCCATGTGACCATTAATTAATGTTTGTACAAAATAGTTTTATTTACTTTTCCTCATCACTCAGCTGGCAGTTGGCTTGGACAAAGCAAGAAATGATCCTTCTCTCCTTGTTTGGGACGTCAGTGTTCAACCCAGTAGGTCAACACTCCATTTTTAAATTTATTTACTTCATTTTATTCTTGCAAAAAATGAATTAGTGGCAGCTTAAACCCTTAAAAAAGCTTATTAGCAAAGTCATTCTAGAAATTACATACTAAAACATTGCACAATTTGATCATGTTCCACTGAAACTGTGGCTAGCAATCATCATTAACCCTTAAACACTTGAGAGTGACAGCCATCTAATTTCTCCTTTCAATGTCAACCCTGAATCAAACATTGAGATCATGAGACAAAAGGAAATGATCTCTAAATGAAAAAGGTATTGATTGTTGAACAAATTCTCCCCCTAATACCACAGGATATATGCAAAGAACAGTATGCACCCGTACTGATGTAAGGGTGCAAAGGGATAAATTATCTTACAAAGACTTAGGAAAGTGGATGGTTTTTAAATTTCAAAATTAACTTTGAGAATGAGTGAAAGAGTCAGGATTTAAGGGAGACGTTTTTCTATGTGGATCTGTTTTATATAGATTGCACTGGGATGTGATTTAATATTGTATTCTATGATTTGTTTACTTTGATTTATTTCTGAATCATTTTTCTAGATTTTACTTTGATTACTGATTTATCTTCGTTTTAGCTGTAAGGGAAAGTGGTAACCAAGAAAAGAGGTTAGTTCACAGGAACATTGTTGCTGCTCTGAGTTTTAACTTGAAAAACCTTATTCAGGTTAACAACCTGTATAGGAAAGTGATTGTGTTGAATAGCACCTGGTTTGTAACATTTTTTATCTAAATTTTTTCATCTCCAAATTATAGACACTCAGGAGTGACTGGTGGCAAACAATCTCCCATTACCGTAGGGACAAATTTCCAAGAGCCTTCACATGTGCAAAATAGGGCTCTTGTTGAACTATGTAAGCTGCTTCACCTTATATTATTACAATAATTATGACAGTCACCATGATTTTACCACAGTGATGGTGACTGTGCACTAGATACTTGACTTATCTTCAAATTTTTATGGTTATTTGATGTGACTTTATCAGCTAATTTCTTGTCTCTTGTTTCTTGGCTCTTGTCAAACTATGTAAGCTGCTTTATCGTAAATTATTATGATAATTATGACAGTCACCATGATTTTACCACAGTGATGGTGAATGTGCAATTGATACTTCAATTATCCTCAAATTTTTATGGTTATTTGTGGCTTTATCTGCTAAATTATCTTTAATTGGTGTTATCCTCCACCATGACTGTCTCAATCTGATGTACAAAGATCAGATCACAACACAGGGGTCTTTGCACCATACTCTTTGTAATTTGGAATTCAATGAATTAAGATATCAAAAGCTTATCTCTTTCCCGACACATTACCAACAGTTGGCCCACTGTCGGCCCACTGTCGGCCGACAGGTAGCCTATATTTCGGGCAAAACCTGTTGGCCGTCTGTCGGCTGTCTGTCGGCCAACAGTCGGCCGACAGGTTTTTCGGGGAGCTCTTCTTCACAATTACCATCTTCAATATTCCTAATGTATATTTGTAGCAGTATGTACTCTGTCTTTATTTACCTCATTCAGTGCACTTATAAACTTACATTGTTAGCACTTTATTTCAACTATGGAACATAAAGTGTAAAATTTTATATATGAAAAATTATATAACTATATGAGACAGTATTCCCCCTTATTTTAAGCATGATAGGTAAAAGAGATTTTTAAACTAATGGAGAAATCCTTTTACCTGTTGAATTCTCAAGAAATCCAAGTGAGTTGGGAAGAAGTGATGATGGTGGTGGAGACAGAGCCATCACCTTACATTCTCTATACAAAAAGACTTGAACCTCTCACCATTTGCAAACCTTACACTTGCTTTGTTTTCATTTTAATTGCTGCAGCCACTTCAGATATAACTGTTTCGTTAGCTTGGTGTCCTTATGATTCTAACGTGTTGATCACTGGGCAGGGACCAAAATACATCAGAGCATTTGACATCAGAGGTGAGCAGAGTGTTAAATTGGTGGGGTGAAGTTCTGTCATAAGCAGACACATACATAATTATGCTATAGACACTGCATTATATGGATTGATAAGCTGAATTATACACACAATTTGATTGGTTCATACTTATGATCTGTTGGACAACAGACACAGATGACATCACCATTAACAAAATTTTGCTCCTTTATCACATAAAACTGATTGATTCTATCTTGCTGTGGGTCTGTACCATGGTAGATCACAGAAAAATTGTTGAAATTTGGTAAGAACATTAGTGACACACTTGGCTGGGCTTTGAATGCCATGTTTTGTTCTTGTACAGATGCTATAAAACATGAAATCTATTTGTTAATGAGAGATAAATTTATGATGGACACTGCTCATAAGTGTCTGAACACCACAATTTCATATAAGTTTTAAGAGATACATCCTTTTTTGTCTAGCGGACACATTCCGTCCACAGAATGCTGCCGTAACAAAAGCAGTGTATGGTGTATGTTTTGACCCACTTGTTGAACACAGAATAGCTTCATTCTCTGGGGTAAGGATTAGAGAACTGTCACAACATATATTAAAGTAATATCACAGATGCATAAATACACCTTATTTAATGGTTTACACATTGATAATACATGGGAATATTTTGTGTGTTGGGTGACAAATTTTTTTCCTACTCATTCTTTGTAAGTTTTTTCTTTGTAATTTTCCTAAGGATTTGGATTTAATATGGTTCACATGTGAAAACAAAACTGATACCACATGTAATTGTGAAGATTTTAGAGGTTGTGGCTTACTCAAATCCTCAACAACTACAGGGGTGGTGCAGTGTGAGGTGACAACAATTCAAACTCCACTTGGCCGATTTTAACTGATTTAATGACAGATCAAAATTGAAAGGTCTAGATCAATCGGTAGCATTTGACATGAAGGGTCATAAACTTTAAGATAATGAAGATTGAAGTTTGTTGGCCTTAGTAGCAGTAGCAGTAGAAAGAAAAGTAGTAGCTTTAGGTGCAGATTAAGTTGTAGATTCAAACTAAAATACAAGAATTCAAAATAGAGTTGAACTTAGATTAGGCTAAAAAGAAACAGTAGACTATCAAGAGACATAATTAACTAATAATAAAACTAGTGGAACTCCTAGCATGAAACAAACAGACGTAACAATTCTAGTGTTGAAAGAAGATACAAGCAACAGTATCATACTAAACACAGGGTAACTAAAATGAGCATAAAAGAATAACAATTTGAAAAGAAGTAAGGACAACTGATGGATAAGTTTGTTTTGCTATAATACTGTAATGATAGCACTTAGTTGACTATAAGCAAGATGTTCTGTGACCGAGAAAAAAAGCTGATGATTCTGCAACTTAATTAACAACAAAGAAGAGACTTACATACTTTGTTTGACAACTCACACCAAAAGAATAGCAAAGGCACTCTAGATATCATTTTCTTTATGCACAAAAAATGTGATACACACCATTTGATTGGCTCTTAGCTTCTTCAACCAGCTTGTGAAGGAAAATTTATTTAGTGTAGATTCAGTGTGTAAATCTTGGTGTACATATGATTTAGTGAAATATTATGTTAAGAAATATATACATTTTTTTTTTTTGTAGGGTGGGCCTGGCGTAATTTGCATCTGGGATGATCGAAACTTTGAAAAACCTGTATCCTCTCTGTAGCACGAAATGGCTCAGATGTTGAATTTTTCTGGAATGGACTCCCATCTGAGAAAACAGGGATGATAGTTGGAAATCAAGTCAAATCTTGGGATTGCTTGAGCTAAAATTTGACCCCTGAGAAGCCACTGTCAAAATTACTGTTAACCAAGATACATGTAAACTATGTAATTATAAGGACAGTTAACTTGAAAAGCTATATGTGGAAATTAGTTGCTGTTGTCCACCTTAAAAAAATACAAAATTCAAGAATGTTTTTGTCCTAAAAACTCCAACTGGCATTTCCTCTTGTGCAAGTTTATATTTTCAGTCCTACCTTAACCTTTTTCAGTTGATGACAATGAGTCAGTCATGTCCTGTGACAGCCATTTCATGGAGCCCAACACGATCTGGCTTAGTAGCCACACTTGGTTTAGAGAGCCCCATTGTGCAACTGTACGATATTCAACATGCTTCAGCAGGTAAGTAAGTTGACTAACATGTTGAGTCCATTAGGGAGAAAGTCTAATCAAATATTCAGTGTAGAACTAAGAAGAGTGTAAAGCGCTGTTTATCTCTCTAAACATGTAAGCACCCCTACTTAAACAATCAAAAATTAATGATTTTAGATTTATGAAATTCATATATTTGCACTGCAGTGAAGAAACAAATCTAAGAGATCCTTGCAGCTAAGAACACTACTGAACTAGTAGTTGAAAATAGGACCTGAAAAAAATTCAGGCCTGCATGGGATTTGAACCCATGACCTCTGCAATACCAGTGTAGCGCTCTACCAATTGAGCTAACAAGCCAACTTGGAGCTGGTCAATGTGTTGGGTCCAAATAAACCATCCAAGTGATGAATAATGATTTTAGATATATGAAATTCATATATTTGCACTGCAGTGAAGAAACAAATCTAAGAGATCTTCGCAGCTAAGAACACTACTGACCTAGTAGTTGAAAACAAGACCTGAAAAAAATTCAGGCCCATACAGGATTTGAACCCATGACCTCTGCAATACCAGTGTAGTGCTCTACAAACTGAGCTAACAAGCCAACTGAGAGCTGGTCAATGTGTTGGGTCCAAATAAACCATCCAAGTGATGAATAATGATTTTAGATATATGAAATTCAAAGGATTTTAGATTTTGCAGCATGTTTTGTTTGTTTGATACAATTAGAAGTCTGACCATGTAACTCACTTATCTGTTATTTGTCCAAAGGAAAGTTTCATTCAAACCTTTGGCACTCATGTCTGCAAAAATTCCACATAATGTGGGGTTTAACTTGATAAACCTGATTCAGTTCTTAAATTGAAATCTTTCCTCAGTTTCACCAACATATGGAGTTGGATACGAGATAGAACCATCTTTCATTGAAAGGAGTGTTAAGCGTAAGATGTTGTTTCCCATTGTTTATAATGATTTTCGATAAATGTGTTAAGTTGCCCAAGGGTGAATGAGTTTTTGAGATATAAGGGTGGTAAATCGTCAGTGAAATTCAGCACTTCTGCATGTTGACAAGCTGTAAGAAAGCTATAAACATTTTATACCCTTGATGATATAATTTTCCATTGCATGTTTGAATTGATATTTCACAAGGATGTACTGGCTGGAAATGAAATTATAGGCTGAAATTAATGTATTAAATTGGCTAATTTATCCAAGAGGAGTAAGTGGCATAGTTCTGTTATGACCTTTTCTTTGTTTTGAACTGTAGCTTCTGTGCCTAATAAAAAAAAAGAAAAAGAAAAGAAAAAAAAAGGAACTGAGGCTTAGATGGCTTATTTGTTCATTCATAGAACAATGATAATAATAATAGTCATGCCTGTCATTATCAATGAGGTCTGTAAATCATGGTACAGTTGATACATGTAGTCCCTGAGAGTTGAAAAAAAAATTTTTGTATATTTTTTATTTCATGGTGAACAGCATCAGGAACAGTTGTGTCTGCATTCTCCTGGCATCCTACACAAGAGAATCGCATGCTTACAATATCATCATCTGGTTGGTGAAAAGTTATGACTTCAGTTACTTCAACATTGGAAAATGTTGATAATATAATTTTTTTTGTTTTTACTCTTAGAACTTCTGTATTATTTATTATTTATTCTTCTTGTATTGAATATTTTCAGGACTGGTTCAAGACTGTACAATTTTTGAAAGAATATCTGTAGTAAGTACAGTTGTCCATGGTAAAACTTATATATCATTAGGAAGGTGTGAGATATCATGATTATTATATTTCACTGACTGTTCTACAACATTAAGTATGTTCTTTTTAAGTTAGTTTTTTGTTTGTTTTGTTACCCCTGCAGACTTGGTCCCCAAACTCCTATCTTACTTGGGGTTGTGGGAAGCATTTGCTGGAGTGCTCACAAAAGGTATGTGTGACCTTTACTATGTTATTTCTGTAGGCCTTGTTTGTCATCCAGGTTTATCTGCATGGAACTTCAGGTAGTTTGATATGAACCTTAACAGGTTTCTGGTGTGTAAACAGCATTTACTTTTTTTAACAACTGTTTGCATATATAGACTGTACTATTCTCAAAATAAATGCTAGAGAAAAACAATGGATGCATCCAATAGATGGATACAGAAAAATAAAAATCAGAAAACATATTAACTATCTTTTTTCTGTGCATCTCTCAAAATACTTTTTTTTTTTCTCCTTCTTTCTCAATTTTTGGACAGACACATTTTGCTTTGGCCATTGTAACCCTTTGACACCAAAGAGTGACTAGCATTTAAATGTTTTGTTACTATATCGCCCCTGAACCAAACATCAAGGTCACAAGAATAATGGGAATGATCACCAACTAAAGAAGTTCTTGATTGTTAAACAAATTCTTCTTGTCAGCACTTTGAGAAATGTTTTGAGAACAGTTTGGAGAATATACATACTGATGCTAGGTTATAAAGGGTTAACACACTTTCTGTCTTCATGCATTCATGTGTGTGCCTTGGCAGGGAAAAAAGATGAAATATTATTTCACAAGTGTCCTAAATTTTTTGTTATTTTATTAGACAAATGCTTATTTTGTTTGTATGGTAGACTACAGAGGCAGCTTTAGAGGAAGATGTCTCATTAAAGATGAAGCGCAGAGCATTTGCAGGATATGGAATAGACTTTTATCAAGTGAGAGATGTTGTTTGTATTTAAAGGGAGGCTTAGAAAAGAGCCCTGAGTGGCTTAAGAGAGAGTACTAGATAATCTCTCCAAGCTGTATCCTTGTTTGAAACACATGGAGAAGTTGATCCGGTATCAAAAGTCACTTACTCCTAGTGCCTTATTTCTCTCAGCCATTCAATTGCAACTGTGAGGTGTTGGGATTTTTTGCACCTATTTGTAATAGATCCTAGTTTATTTACATATTTAACAAGTTGACCAGATTTTAAATGGGAGTTGATTAATATTGATTGACAGTCAATAATGGTGATAATGATGATAATGATAACATAATGATGTCAATAGGCTATTTTTTTTCTTTTTGGGCTTAACAGGCACAAGACATTGCAAGAATAACTGGAGATCCTAAGCTTGTCAAGCTGTGGTCATGGATTTATCATATCCTTTTTTTTTTTTAATCATGTATTAGGTATAGGTAGCAATGGAATTATCAGGCTCAGAAAATGATCTTTATATTCAGTCTGTTGCTGAATGAAAAAAATTTCAAATAATATTACATATATATCAGTAAACCAAACTGAAGCACAAGATTTCAGATGGAGAAAAATCCACACAGCAACACAAAAGAGTTTTACAAAAATGTTCACAAAATTTTCAGTTATTACAAATGGTGAATTTTAAGTGTATTTCTGTGAGCAGCTGTCTCACTAAACTCTCAAGAAATCATTTGGATTTCCATCTGTGTAAACAGAAAGGTGGCAAAATTCACTTTTCAACTTTGACCCGTAAGGTGTGATTAGTGAATCTCCCTTCCAGTTTCTCTACGTTTTCTTATAGTTTGGTCCTGTTTCAAAATAATGCCTTCACTTGCATGGTGGATATTGCATTCATATTGCAAGGAGAAGATTAACATCAACACTGGTGGGAGTTAAAAGGTCAAAAGCTTTGCAACATTGCTCTTCCAAGGTTTTAGAAGAGGCTCAGTAATTTTGACTCTATCATTGACAAAACTGGAAGAAAAGGATGAAATGGGGAGAGAAATTGGCCAAAATTCTCACATGGTCTTTTTTTTCTTGGAGAAACCTTAACAATATTTCAGGGGTAAAGTCCATGAGAGAACAAGGTACAATTCACTTTTACTCATTCATGTATGCTAAGTGATGATCTTTAAAGGTGATGAGAAAATTTTGGAGGCTGAAAGAATGTTTCCTTTTTTTAACTTTCTTTTCAGTGTGTAACTCCTTGTATGATCTTTTTTCAGATAAATCTAAAACTCTTAAATATGATGGCATCAAATCTATCATTGGTGGAGAGAATGGTGGTGGAGGTATGTAAAACTTAGGGAAAACTACTTCTCATAGACTATATTTTTACAGTCAAGTAATATTTCTTGTTACTGAGGGTTCAAATAGCCAGGTTAAAGTTGCAGTGATACACTGACCATGCAAGTCCATAGGATGTAATTCAAAGGCCTACTATGATCATAATTTATATTCAAAGGTGCAACTGCAAGAAGTAAAGCAGACTCTTACCAAGAACAGCGTCTTGTAGCACCAGTGTACTACAGTGACGAAAGGTCAGAATCAAGCTTGTTATGCTTACTTGTAGTTGACTGTACCCTTGTTCCTGAAGGACCTTGTTCCTGAAGGATGTTGAATTTTTTGTGGCACTTACAATTTATTGATGCAATCAAACCTGTATTAAATGGTGCCATATTAAGCAGTCACCCTGTATTAAGTGACCAGTTGTCAAAGTCACAAATGTGTTTCTCCTTACTCACTGTAATTTTCACCTCTATTAAGTGGTTGCAGTCACCCAAGTCTCAACAGCCTGTTTTTATTGTCTTCCACCTGTATTGAACAGTCACTGAAAGTGGGACCACTCAAATGAAATTAAGAATAATCTTTCAAGTTATTATTAACCCATGTTTCTCTCTCAAAATCAATGTATTAAGTAGTATTTTCAAGGTAGATTCTGTACATTTAGTGGTCAAGTAGGGCATTAAGTGACATTGTTTAAAATCTTTTTTTTTTTTTTTTTTTTTATAATACCCCCCAATCTGTGGAAGCTGTATTAAGCAGTCAACCTATATTTAGCAGTCACCCAGCCATTCCCCATAGGTGACAGTACAGGTTCCATTGTAATTGTAGTTATTTCTGTGTGATTGCAGAAAGCTGGCTCTTTCTCTTTGTGGCTGGGATTTTAAAAGCTCTGGAAATACGCTTGCTGATTTTTTAAACAAGTAAGGTGAAAAGCTTAGATTAAATGAACGAGCTAGTTTGTTTGACTAAGGTTTGAGCAATTGATGGTTCTAGGAATTTAACTGATCGAGTTTGGTGCATTATCTTGGAATGGGTTAATAGGACAAACTCGATTCATTCTATAGTTTTTTCATTGTTTTGATGAAAAGTCACATCACTTGGCCTCAGCAATTTGTTAGAAAGGTATTGTTCTTTTAATTTGTTTTACTAAGCCAGTGGAAAAGTGTGCATCATTTTGATAGTCTCTTAATATGTTATTCATTTTTGAATCCTTTTTAATAAATAAACCTATAATTTTCTCTTGTTTACAGATTGCAATCTTCTGGACAGTATGAGAGAGCTGCAGCAGTAGCACTTTTCAATAACAAGATCAGAGATGCAATTGAAATATTGAGCTCACAAGGGTCAAATGATATGAAAGGTACTAAAGGTAATATCTTAATTAATACAGCATTCAGTTACTCTTTGGTTTAAACTTCACTCTGTACACAAACACACTCACACTTTTGTGAAATCCTCTCCAAAGAATAGAGTAGTTATTTTGGTGTTCTGATTGATTTCTGGTATTTTTCCAGGAAGTTCCCTGAATGTGGTCGCTATGGCACTGTCAGGGTATACAGAGGAAAAGAAGACTTTGTGGAGAGACATGTGCAGGTCACTGTGCGGTCAGGTGAGTTATGATAGTTATATAAAATACTAATTAAAATTATCTTTCATCAGGGATTCATTTTCACAAAAACAATTCTAGGCAAGATGCTCAAATCTCACAATACTCCGATCCACTCAGAAGAGTGAGTGGATATTTGTAAACTGACAGATGAACGTGACAAAATACTCATGTACACTGAGAGGGAAGACTGGAGACTAAACCATTCAAGAGGAGTTTCAATCATCTTTAGCATTCCTCTGTCATGAGTGACCAAACAAAACTTTCTTCTTTGAATATCAATCAATTTTGTGTGCACTTTGCATTTTAGATGGAGAATCCTTACCTTAGATCAGCTTTTGCTTTTTTGACCACTGAGGCTGAACACTTTGAGAATATTTTGGTGAGTTCCTTCTTTAAATTTTGAGTTTTCTATATATACTGTAAGTTTTACCTGTAAACATGCCACAATCTTTTTGGTAATTGATTATAAGATTTGTACTTTAACGCATAAATAGTTCTCAGTACAGAAAAAGGGTCTAAAGCTATTATTATTGTGCAGTGAGAAGAGAAGGTTTGTCTAAAATTGTAATACTACTGTAGTGTACTTCTTAAACCTTCAACCCTTAAGAGTGACTAGCATCTAATTGCTCTTTACAATATCACCCCAGAATCATGTAGTAAGGTCATGAGAATAAAAAAAATTATCACCAGCAAAAGAAGCTGTTGATTGTTACACAAATTCTCCTTGTCAGTACCTCAGGGAATGTATAGGGAACAGTATGGAGAATATGCATACTGATGTTAGGGTATAAAGGGTTAAAAGATTGAAAATATGAATGTGCTCTCTTTGAGGCGGAGGAAGGAATTGAAATCGAGGACAGAGTAGCCTTTGCTTGCAAGTACCTCCCTGATCACAAGGTAGGAACACAGCATTTTTAAAACTGCAATCTTTGAATGCTAGCAAGGTGGTATTGACATGATAAAAAGCTCGATTCAGCTGCATGGAACAAAAAGTGAATTGTAATTTCTCACTATTTTCATATATCAGTTGTCCCAGTTTCTTGAAAACTTGTCAACAAAGTTGAGTAATGCTGGGGATCTAGACGGCATTCTGCTTACTGGTAGGAATTATTTCACTTCACCTTCATTCTGTGTTTGGTAAACATAATCTCTCTTAATGTTATGGATGAACTTAAATGAATTTGGAGAAAGGTAAAAAAGAAGTGTATTGCAGTTTAAAATTTCCCTTGAAGTGAAGCAGACTGTAATTTTGGGTGAAAGAACTGTTTGTTCGAACAAAATAGCCTTTTGATGACAATTAATCAATCAATGACCAAACATATTTTAGGAAGAGTTTTCAATTTTCTTACCTCATCTCCCTTCAGGCAGACAGGAAATGTTCAATTGAATAAGGCACAGACATTGTTATCTGCCAAAATTTTATATGGTGTTTTAATGAGTTTGAAAGCGATCTTTGCAGTAATGAACACTACTTATAAGTAGTAGCAAAAATAAGATTTTCATATATTTACAGGTACTTGTATCTACTTGTATGGTAGTTTTAATATCAGTGCCAGAAGAATTAATATTAGTGAATTATATTTTCATAAAGAGTACTTACAATTAACCGGAAGAAAAAATGTATACAACACGTCAAATTAACCACTGACCAGCAAACTATGTTACTAGAAATAGAAAGTAACATAATTTGCTTTTATTTGTATTACTACATTGTTAAGTTTCATGAATATACAACACTGTTTTTTATGCTACAGGGCCATCAATATCAATATCAATCAGTACTGATCAATTTCTATCAGTTAAATAATTATTGTCTTTATCCCTTAGGAATTTCAATGGATGGAATAAACTTAATAGAAAAATATGTAAATAAGGTAAAGTCTCCCTCACTGTACTTCACACACATAAAGATTATTTATATTATCTTTGTGTATTGAGTTTTTCAGTCTATATGGTACATCTGTCCCAATGGGATAAGCCCTCACAGGTTTTTTCTCTTAGTTTCTTCTATTTTTTTATTTATACATTTATTTTTTTCAAGAGAATTTTAGAGGGTTTGTCTCTCTCATAGAGTAATCTAATCAGATTCCTTAAACCAGCTAAACCCTTCAAAACTTGCTTCACTTCCAAGCATGTGGGTTCAAACCTTACTGAAGCAGGAATTTTCTTCAAGCTTACTCTCTACAATTGCTTTAATTGCAGTCCCCCCACAAGGATCATTTCTTTGCTGATTTTTTTTCCACAGGTCAAACAAAATTTATTTCATCCAATAAAAACAGAAAAAAGAATTAGAGATTGTTCAAGTACCAACAAAGAGCTTGAGAGCAATTGTGTAATTCCTGGGTCTCCAATTTTCCTCACTCTTGAGACAATTTACTAAAGAGAAAACAGAAGGTCTGGAAGTAGACAAGTGATCTCCCATATATATTTTGTTGTGGTTAACATTTGGTTTTCTTAACAGACAACAGATGTTCAAACAGCAAGCTTGGTCTTTGTCAACTGTGTAACTCATATCTCCAGTGAAGTATTCAAAGATCCTAGAGTTTTATCATGGATAGAAAAGTAAGACCACAATTATTTTTTCAGAGAAAGACGTTCATCTATAAAGCACCACTGTTTACAGTTGCACTTTCAAAATTTTAAATATTGATCTGAATGTTTTGGTATTTTCAGTTATAGAAGTCTGCTTGACATGTGGAGGCTCTGGCATCAAAGGTATTTTTCAATAGGGAAGAATCAGTAGATGATTTCCATGTTTCTTAGGGAAATCGATGGTGTTCAATAAGAAATTGTTTCCTCATGTTGTATTGCTAAGACTAGCTGCATTTATTGTAGTTATGTAGTACAACAGCTATAAATATATCAAGGATTATTAATAACTGTGGAAGAAAGTGGTTCTCTCTTTTTGTTAATTGTACTATCTGAGAAAACAATGTGTTGTCAAGGCAAGATTTGTCTTTTCAGTTTGTTTTCCAAGAGGTAATAAGCCTTGAATTAAATCTATCACACAAAGTTTTCCAGTTTTCTTGTTTAAGAAAGGGGCACCAATGGGCATCTTGTGAGGGAATAAAACAAACAGAGATATGAAGCCACAGGCTTGAAGTGAAGCAAATGCTTATAAGTATTTGTAAAATATTGAGTTTTTTTATCCCTCTAAGGAAATATGACCATGATTCATATATATGTTGTGTCTTTCAACTTTTGTTTATTCAACAATTACTTTTATTTTCAGGTCCCTGTTTGATATTCATTTTAACTTAAAAGATTCCACCCAAAGGCCTCCTCAACAAGTGTTTGTTTCATGTAATTTTTGTGGCAACTCCATCCTTACTAACATGCTATCAACATGTAAGTGCTAGTCTGTCATAACATTTTATCTTCTCTTTGTCTATTGCCATCATTTCTTGAAGTGATATTATGAGCATTTACCTGGATCCATTTCCTAGCTCTCCAAATGATTCATGTCCTTATGTGGTGTTCCATTTTAAAGGCTGTTCTAAAAAGGCAAATATTGTTGGAAAATAGACAGTGTTGTCTGATTACATAACTGATTCGTCATCTGTAATTTGCTGAATGCTGGTTCTTTTGTACTATTTTTTTTGTGGTACTCAATAAAATTTGTTTAGTGGTACTCTATAAAATTTCATACCCCTCTCACATAAGGTCTCCTTGATTGAGCTCTACTCACCCCACTCTACTTAAAATTCTTGGCGTATGAGTTATATCACAACACTGTACATTCACATTTACTGTAGGAAGTGTGCTTGCACTACAATTTAAATTTGTTGCTATATGAGTAAAAACATATAACCTTTAATGTAATAATGTGGTGGAAATGAATTGTTGAGCTAACTTTTTATCACTACTGTTAGGTTCAAGGCCTCGTAAACTTGCACAATACTGCAATCCCTCAAACAGAACAAAGGTGTGTCATTACTCACAGAAGAGGCAGCGTGATAATGCTGTTTTTTTGGCATGGCCCACAGCTAGCCTTTGGCTTATCTTTTTTACCTTCTTTGACAGTTTGTTGGCATGAACAATGATAATTATTGTTGAACACAATTCTATTGGTTCTTTACCCTGAGAAAGACGAACTGTCCTGGTGCGTTCCTTACACCCTTACCCATTCTCATATCACTGACACCTTATGAATGTCAAGAGCTGTCTGTCTAGCCATCAGTTAATATGCTGAAAGGCATATCAGTTTGGTCAGATTCATTAATTTTTCAGTCTCATTATTTGTGATAATAACATGGGCTAAAACCTTTTTGGAACACCAAAAAAGAACCTGGAATGAACATAGTAGTACATTACTAGCCACTCAGCTACCTTTTAACTTGTTGAGTCAGCTTATTATACTCAAGAGGTAACAACAGTCCAATCATCAATCCCTATCATGACAGCTCATCAAAAAATTGTGAAGTACACAGTCTAACTCCATGAGTTTGAAATGTACTGAGGCAGTTTGACTTTCTACTTCACAAGTGTGCAGACAGCTAATCAGTACAAGGGACCTTTAGCAGTCTGTGAGGAAGACATAGACCAAAAAAAATATTTATGTGTTTCAGATTATGGCTTGCCCAGGTTGCCGTAAGCCTCTTCCAAGATGTGCTCTCTGCCTAGTTCACATGGGAACATCTTCATCACTTTCACAGAAGCCAGCAAATCAAGGTCAAGAGAACTAATATATTTACCAGTATATAGGTTAACCTACAACTGCAAAATCACAACTGAATCTTTCAGTTCCTCTTCTTCTTAGAGAATCTTATCTGCATGGAGACTTTTATTTCAGTTGGTGTTCCAAACTGTTACTGGAAGAAAGATAGTTTAAACAAAAGTGTCTCTGAAATTCAAATGATGCACGTGTAAACAAAACTTTTGAGCTCAGGTGATATAACCACCTTTGATTATCAGCTAAAAAACAAAAAACAAATACTTAAATCTTTTCTTTAGGAGATTCAAATGCAGAAAAACCAGCAAATGCGCGAACTGTGAATCCATTTCATAACTGGTTCACATGGTGCCAATCATGTCGTCACGGTGGACATTCCAATCATATAGTTGAATGGTTTAAGTAAGTGTGAAATCGGAGATTTCAGTTCTGATACACATGCAACAAGGGAAATAATATAGAATTCTCCTAAAGTAGCTAAGTATCAATGGTGGGGGTACCTTGACAAGCATACCTCTTCCCTTGTGCTTTTAGACCAGGCCAACTGAGATGATTTCTTCAAAACTGATGTTCAAGGGTGGGTGGCCCTCCCTCATGTCTTATGAGTCTTTCCCTTCTCTTTACTACCTGGATCAATCTCTTTTCATTGGAATTGAAGTTTTAGAATTCCATTGCATGAGTGTGTACTATAAAGTGAAGGCAGTGGAAAAAAATTTTCCAGGCATTGGATTAAAACTTTTTGGGAAGAGTGCATATTCTCCTATAGTCCACGACTTGTTTATCATGTTAGGGTTTTCTTTCAAATTGTTATTAGTTTGTTAGTCACTTAAATGTTAGATTTTGTTTCTCTCCTTGTGCTAAGGACTTTTGCTACCCTTTGTAGAGTTAAAGTGTTTATTTTTATCAAATGATGTATGTGACTGTTAACATTCTGGATTCCTTTTCAGGGAACATATTGAATGTCCTGTCACAGGATGTGGATGTCACTGCATGAACTTAGATTCTGTTGCCATGGCAATGCCAAACAATGACATTTATTCAGTAGCATGAGTGGATAATTATTTTTAAAATAATGTCAAAAAAATTAGACTCAGACTAGCTATTTCTGACGTTTACAGTGTTATCTGGAAAATATTTGTGAAGACACCTTTACAAAGTGTTGCTCCTATGTCTGAAAGAAAATATTTTTTTCTTTTTCATCTCAAAAATTGGATTTATTTAGTCCTCTACTAATTCAGATATTGCAATTTAATTCATTCTCTACTCTAACAATGAAAAATTACTAGGTTTTTTTTAAAATTGTAATTGTATATATAAAAATTAAGTTATGAATCAGTGAACTTTTCTTTTTAATTCTTGGCTCATTGCCCCTAGAACTCTGGTGTGAATTTTTTTTATTCATCATTTGTTGGAAGCACTGATGTGAGACAAAACCATTATGCTTGAGTTACAGTAGACTGATTTTAGGCCTTCTAAGTGTTCATGATTGAAAGCAGCTGTAACCATTACTGGGATAGTTGATGCAATAATATTCCCTCATTCACTTTGAAGCTGCACTTAAAGTCAAATTTCATAAGTTACCATACTTAACTGCAATATTCCCTTTCCTCAGTCTGTGTTTAACAGTCAAATTATAAACAGAGCATGACATTGGATAGGGACAGCTGTGGCAGAGTGTTTTAAGAATGAGTGGTAAATTGGTATATTCTTCTTTGTTGCTATTTAAGGGGCAATGTGGAATCTTCTCTGACAATAACAGCAGACACATTTCACCCCAATTTCTTCTGTCACACAAACATAATTGGCAGTTTTGATATGCAGATAATTGCTGTGAAGACGTCATGAAATAAAAAGTACTTCAGTCAACAGGTCAATCATTTGCATATGGCTGCTTCCATTCATGTTTGTGTCACAGTAAAGATGAGCCTAAACTTTAACCAGGTTCATTGTTTATTAATTAAAAGGATCAGCCCTGTCTGAAGTATCTAGTGGTATTTTGTCAATCTTTCTAGAAATGTATTTTAAACATCGCCTACTGCTAATTTAATCCAAAATTCATGTGATTCCTTAACATTTTTTAATTGTAAGGAAAATCTCAAAAAATCCAAATCAAAGATATTTCACAAAGGGATTCTTTGAATTAAAATCATTGTCATAAACAAGTGCGGTATTGATCAGATTGTCAACAGGTAAAATACCTCACCAACCATACATTGACTTATCCCAGAAGGTGAATGGACTTGTCTCATTGAATCCCCCTGCAATTAGACCTCTAAGTTGACGTATTGAATCTACAAGTGTCACCCTTGAATCACACATAAAGGTCACAAGAACAAGGTAATTGATCACCAACTAAAGAAGCTCTTGATTGTTAAAGAAATTCTCCTGATCAGCACCATGGGAAATGTATAAAGAACATTACGGAGAATGTGCTTACTGATGTTAGGGTGTAAAGGCTTCAGAGTAAGGCCTTTGAAAGAGAAAGGTGTTTTAAACTATTCTTTCCCCAAGATTTAAATACCAATTTTAACTGTGTCTGCCATACATTTGCTATATATATGCTAAAAATTTTTTTTGTGAAATCCAATGATATACCTATAATTTATTTCTTCTTTTTACCTTTCTGTATCGAGATTTACTGATATTGTGAAAAGAAATTTCTTCTGGGTCACTGTTGGGAGTGAAAGGGTTACATATTACAATATCACTCAAGAATCACACAATAGGGTCACCTGGCAAAAGGAAATGATAATAAACAAATAAAGAAGCTCTAAATTGTTAAACAAATTCTCCCTGTCAACACCTTAAGAAATGTAAAGAGTAAATTATGGAGAACATGTTAAGACGAAATGGGAGACAAGATGTAGAATTTCCATTTATTTGGTAAAAGATTGTAGCTCTAAACTACTATTCAATAAAAACAGTGAGGGTTTACAGGCAACTATAGTTTCCCTCCACATTGTGTCTTGTTTCTTTTCCATAACAGTTGCAAACATCTCCACCAGACCACTAGAGAAATACAAATCTTAGTCTCAAATAATGAGCAACACAATGTGAGGTGTTGGTCTGGAAAAACATGAAGACTAATCAGCTAGGAGTCTTTAAGGTTCATTTCACAGCCTTTACTTTCTGGTTCATGATGAGGGAATAACTTCATGTTTTTATCTGGTTAGTGGCCAAATCCATTCAACTGTGTAGATCCAAATATTTCAGGGAAGTCAGCAGCTAATGAAACGGCTTGACTATAGGCATCCAGGTCTATTGACAAAAATAATTCACATAACTGTAAAATAGAACCTCTATTTTATGTTTCCACCAAATAAAAGAAGTAGAAAGCTACCAAAAAAAAAAAAGCTTAAAAAAAATTGACATAAGTACAGTTAATCTCAACCACTTATTGAGTTCAAAGCCATATTTACCACAACATCCGTTAACACTTTAATTCCCATGATCTGATTGTTAATTCTCCCCTCGAGCTGCTACACATTTCTTTGTAAATCAGTTTCTAGAATTCAGAGTTGGACCATGATAACTTTCTACCTGATAAGTTTGAGTATTCTCACCACCTGTCCGCTGGACAGTTTATAACTTATTATAGGGAGAAGTTACATGTTTATCACTTCTGGGAGTTATAGGGTTAAATCATTGGTAAGCAGAGAATTATATCTAAAATCACATGACAAAAGCAGAAGCATCCTTACCAAAATCATTGCTGTATGGAATAATTCTGTGTCCTGACAGCGAACAATTGTTCTCTACTCTTCCTATGACCTCCACTGCTCCTTGGAGCTTCTCATCAAGCTAAAAATTTTATTTAACAGAACAAGTAATCGGAATGTGTTCTTTGATACTGAGTGAACAACTTTTCATTTGAATTAAAAATATAAATCATTTAAAGATAGGACTTACTGGTACATCCAGAGTGACTTTGACAACCTTGTGGTCACAAGCCATGAGCTTAAGCTCAGCACCATTTGAACTGATCTGCAAGAAAAACAAGATGAGTCTTAAATTGAACCAGTATAGAAAAAGCTGAATTGCTGAATTATAACCCTCGCATTCACCACCTGAAAATTGAAGAAAAAAGATCATGGATAGTCAGGTCAGAAGCCTAGTCAATCCTACCAAAGCTACTTCTGGTCTATAGATTTCTTCTTTGCATTTCTTTGCAGTTAGCACACTGAACTCCAAGAAGAGAGGTCTGCTTCCAGATCAAGCCGGGTCATTGCCTCTCTCTGCCCAGGAGTTTAAATCAGTACAGGCAAACTGTTAGGGAGGTCCTGTGAAATGCTAGGGGGGTAACCTTGCAATAGACTGTCATCCCATCCAGGTGGGAATAGAAATACCCCTGGATACTTGATACTACAGAAACCAGGATAAGCTCTGCTTGAATAGCCACTGGGCTCAAGTGCAGACATAACCTGTGCATTTCTTCTGGTTGCCCTGACAATTTATCAGTTCCCCACTTTTACTCCTCAGTGTACACGAGTAGTGTGAGTGTAAAAAATTAAAAAGGAACACCATTACTATGATCACTTTTCAGCTTTGAATTTGGTCATAACAATAAGTAGCTAGTCAGCCAAAGAAGATGGTAGGAAAGAAAGAAAAAGACTGAGGCTGAATGAAGAGGTGAATAGAAAAACAGCATGAATATGAGAATGAAGTGGTTATATTTGACAGGCGATTATACAACAAGAATCCAGGAAAGATTTATCTATAACCCTATCTATTCTCAAATAAAGATGTAGTCCCAAAACTATTCTATGGTTTTCACTGTTGTATTTATCCAAGAACTGGTAAATTTTTTTTTTTAAAAAGAATGATCTTAAAAAATTATGAGCTATCAAATGCCTGAACTGCAATCTTCAACAGTGAAATATGAATGACAAGAAGCGGAAAATCTGAATAAAAAAGCGTGAAATTGTTAAATAATAATACAAACAATTATGAATGTTTGTTAAAAATAATGTTGTATTGTCCAAGCAGTGGACATGAATTATTGTCCACATTAGGAGTCAGTTTGGTATTCCAGGTTTCCAGTGTCTTTCCTGTTCTAAAACCACCTTTACCAATTATAGAAGCGTTTTCAAAGTCAATATTTTCAAAATCGTGATCATCATTAATCCAGGATAATTATTAATCCAGGAACTGTTTGCATAATTAAGTATGGGGCTAAGTAGAAATCTTGCGAAAATGGCATCCATTTTTATTTTGCGGCTCAGTCACGTAAAAGTGAGCAAACGTACAGCAATAATTAAGCCATTCTAAACTTTATTTGAAAATAACAGACAGTCAGTGAAGACTGGGACATTCAAATTTCGTCACGAGATCGAATAATGGTCATTTCCAATTCCCCCTTCCAGCCTCTCGCAAAGAATTAGCTATTTCCCCACAAAAACCCCCACTAGGTACAGCCATGCATGAATTATCAATTAGCAATCTACCTCTTTGCCGATCTAGAATAATAAAATAATATACTTATTAGCCGCAGTTAGTATAACATCGAACATCGAGTGTAGACCTTTCACACTCTTTCTTCGTACTTACCTCTGTTACATTTCCCACAAGACAAACAGTTTTCCCAGAATATTGGGTTAACATAGAAGCATTGACTCTCGGTGCCTCCATGTCAAAAACACGGGAAATGATCGAGGAAATTCCAAGATCTTTGTGCCAATAAATAAAATTCTCAACTTCGCGGAATAACTGATAATTTTGGCGCGCTGTTCAACTAGTACTTAGTCCCTTTCGTACAAATTGAAAGGCTAGTTACCAGGACCATGAATCATACAGAAGTACTTCATGTAATTTCACCTATTTTGTCTAAAGGTCTAGCCGCTATTTTTAGAACACCCGTTGTCACGTTAGTATCTCTGGGAATTAGTGATCATCCATTTTGTCGTCATTGCAATTTCTGGTTGTGCCTGTTATGCTGCAAGCAGCTGGACTTGGAAATGAGCTTCTTTTCTAGTATTTACGCGAAGGTTTTGGGAACGAACTCAAAGAAATCGGAGGAAACCAGTTCGGACGGTGGAAACGGTTTCGCAGAAGCATACGACAATGAAGACGGCTTTGTATTGTACACTCCTTATCAAAACAAGCGATGCAAGGTATGGAACACAATTTGTTTCCTCGAGCTAGCTCTAGGAAGAGGAGAAATAACTAGAGTAACACGGTCAATCTTAGGAGCTAAGTTTCTTGATTTTATTGGTGTAAATAAAAATAAAAGTGTAAAATAGCGTGTGCCTTATTGGTTAGATTAGACCGTTAGGTGGAAGAACTATGTCGGATCTTTCGACACAAGCTTAAACTGGATCTTCAGTATTCGTGTTTATCTCGCCAGCAGTATTTTTTTAAATAGCCTCTCATCTTTCCAGGTGATTTCTTGGATTACAGGCCAAAGTTATATATAATTTTTCAAATCATGCATTATTTGACTGATAATTATGAAATATTTGGTTATAAAAACGCTGTAGAGTAGTTTCCTTGTCCGCATCGACCAATGCTTTTGCAGGTGATTTCACTCCACACCATAGGAGACGGAAATGGTCAACAGAATTTCCTTATGGACATGTAAAAAGTCACCTGTATAGTTTGATTTTGTTGAGAAGACATAAGCTACTGAATCTATGGAATCAGATAAATAAACTGCAGTGAGCCTTAGGGATTGTTACTCAGTAGTACTTGTTCTTTGCTGATCAACTGAAGACCCCAGCATACCCAAGTCATACTTCAGAGTGGGCTTGAAATCCATGTTACCTAAAAATGATTTTTGAACAATTCTTACTCAATCACAAGAGACTTGATTTTTGCAAGTTTTGGGAAGTGAAAAAGAACCATTTAGTTAGATGTGACAGAGTAAAACCCAACTCTGGAGGCCAAGAAAAATGCTGTAATTCATATTTTCCTATGTTGCTATGTAAGGTGTGAAGTGAAAAAGTGAAAATTTTCCTCCCTGTTTAAATATAAAGCCTTCTAATCTTAGATTTTACTCATTGGATTATTATCTAAGTTTTTTCAGTTGAGGCTTGATAAATGTGCATTTTTTATTTTGAAGAAAGTTTGGTCTTGTCATACCCTTGGTAGAATAATTGTTGATTCAGTTTTTTTAGGTAAAATCAGATTTACTATTTCCCCATTCCTACAATTCAACACCAAAGTTTTCTAAACCAAGCTCTAATATATTGTTATTAGTTACCTTTTTCTCCTTTACCAATTCCTCAATCGAAAGAGGGTGGCAAAGATTTTATATGCAATGAGTAATAAAGGCCAAAATTATTAATATTTGATGCATGAATATTAAAGAAAAGTGATTTTGACTTATGTATTTATGAACCAATATGAAGCATGATTTGAGTCCTGAAATATTGGTGACCCATGAATGTTTTGTCTTATATTGTGGAAACCTCAAGATTTCCTTGAAACATTGTACACAGGAAGAGAGATATGAAGGTTTCCCTCTTAAATACATGTACATGACGCATGACTTTTTCAAAAAATTGAGCTTGAAATGGGATCAGTTTCCCCCTCTGCTACCCTCTCAAATTATGCAATATTTTTCAATCAAAAGAAATCTGTAGATGCTCTAGTCTCCTATTTTCATGGTCATTTTTCCTGTGGGAAATCTTGATTGTAGACGAGATCCTGAAATTATTTGAATTAAAATAAATTTTTTTTCATTTTTAGCAATCTGATTACAACCCTGAATCTAGAAATGTGAAAGTGTTTGAAAATTACCAGAAGAGCTGTTCATATCCACCAACAGGTAACTGTCTTACAGATCTCTTACTTCCATTTTCCTATACCTTTGTCCTTTCCCCTGTTAATTTTTATCACTCAACAAACTATTTTTATGTAAATTTTTCTGTTTCTAATATTTTTCTTTAAAATGTTAATTTTCAAATATTAATTTTTCAAACTGAATTGTTACTAAACAAAGAAACAAAACTGAAAATGTTTTTTATATCATCAGTATTTCATATTTTTAGAGAAAGAGGAAAAACTTCATAGTAGCCTTAAAAAAACAGGGCAGTTGTATGATATAACTGCCCCATATTTTTAAGGCCATTAAGAAGTCTTTGTTCCTCTTTCCCTAACCCAATTAAGCCCTCTGATGTCCAAATTCATTATTATGTGCAAGGCCATAACCCTATAAATCTAAAGATCTGGACTAAAATTCTCCCCACCAAATTCTGCACATTTTCTTCTAGGTAAGTTAGGAGAATTAGGTACAGATTTAAAAATGACTTTCTCTAGTTCTAGGCCCCTATGTGTGCTTTTCTCTGCCTAAAACTTGAGGAATAGTCCCCCCCCCCTCCTTGGGTTACTTTATATCTACTCTGTTCATGTCGCACATTTTTGTCAGCTCAAGTCATTTCTAACTTGTGCTTTGTTAACTGATCTCTAGGTTCAACTGCTTACACAACATCTACTTCAAAGACAGCATCAAAAAAGAACACAACTTTCATTACAGTCTCTGATATTCCAATGGAACTGTCTAAACAATTGCAAGCTATTTTACACACAAATCAAAGGACTGGTAATGTCCTGAGAAAAGCTTTGCCAAATATTGATCAATACAACTATGACTTTTCACTGGAGAGAGCTGTCATCAGTTCATTAGAGGGGATTTCATGACTTTTTATCAAGCTCTGGAACATTTGCAAATTTGATTTTGCACCACAAAGACTTCATGGATAAGTCAGGACATTAGCGTTGAATCCTTTCTCACCCTGAAGGGAAAAATCTGTGGACTTTCTGCATATGTTACTACAATGTCATTCAGACAATGAGTAGGGCTTAGAAAATTACATAATACCAAATTCTCAAGAATAGCCGTCATTGGGATGTGTGGTCATCTATTAGGAAAATTAACCCATCATTAGTCAGACCAGAGTAAAAGGGTTGAAAGATTGAAACGGACAGCATATGGACTAGACTAGACTAGACTAGACTAGAAAGTAAAACAGTCAGATTACTTGACGTGTCTTTTGTAATTACAATAGCATGTAGTACAGGCGTCTTGTTAATTTCTTTCTTTCCCCAGCCTTCCTCTTACAATCAAAGATAGCGGCTATAGTTTTCCCTAAGAAAAATACTGAGCACTCACTCCCTAAAATTACATCTGCTCTTTTGATATAGCTTAAAACAATTTCAATATTTTTAAACATCTATTATTTGATGTATACTGGCTTCCACATTTTTCATTTTTCTCCTTGAAATTGTGTGAAAAAAACTCAATCATTTCACTTCAAGTTTTAATCATTTTTCTTACAATTGGGGTTACTATGGCAACATTACAAGCTCTTAAAACAACCTTTTTTTGCCGCATATTTTTTATGTCTAAAATAAGTTTGCTGACCCTCTTTTTTTTAATCACTGAATATTAATCAGTTGCAAAGTTACATAAAAAATTTGTACAAATAGTTCAGAGCCGCCCTAATTCTTTTTAATGTCAAATACAGCTTTGTAATAGATGTAGGTACATGACATTAACCTGTAAAGATAACCTTAAAACATACAAATGTTTTATCTTGTATGACAAAATGTTTCTCTGGATTGACGATATTTTACGTTATATTACGAAATGACTCTTACCCCAGGAATAAAATAAACCTTCTTAGGTTTGGTATCTGGAGGTTTCATTTTGATCGAAATGTATTAGGATTTTGGCAGAATACGTTCTGTTGTAAAATAACGAGTGGAAAGATTTGGGGGTGAGCTAATAAAGGCGCGGGCGAAGTCGCCTTACTTCGAGGGGCGAGCTTACAATAGGAAGAAACCTCCATAAACCCTTAGTTACCTATTTTGATTTTCTGGAATCTTGCAATGAACTTCATGATGTCTTAAATTCCCTATGAGCCAATTTTCACAAGGTCTTATATTCTCTTAAGGCAGACATATTTCGTTCTAGAGAATCTAGATCATGATGAGCTATTAAGTATTAATTCTATCAGCCATGAACCACAGCCATTCATCGTTTAAATCAGACAGAAGACTTCGTTTCTCTATGGAAAGTTGTCTTAATCAATCAAAGCACCACATTTTCTAATATTTCCCATAATTGAATCAATTTATGTTCTGTCAACTTTTACCTAAAGATACGAATACTAATTTATCTAATTTGTACGACCAGTACTAAAAATCTACCTCGCTTGTCATCTCAAAGTTGTGCGCTGAACGAGGAAATACGCATTAATCTGTTTTTGAAAAGACCAGCTTTATATTGAATCACCAGCAATGCTACTCAAGCTGACTGCAGGCCTGTATGCAAAGTACCGCATGTTGTTACCTTTTAGACGTCATAAACTTATCTCGTTCACTTTAAAAAAAAAAAAATTGTCGAAATTTCGTGATAGACATCGTTATAAAACAATCTGTCTTTTGGTAAGGGTGAGTACATTGAAACAGTAAAACTAAACAGTGAACTTGCAATTTCAGGAAGGAGTATTCGACGCTCAGGTATTAGATAGAAAAGCTCTGATTGTTGTGGTCCTAATTAACTAGTGAAATTTTACTAGAGGAACTGTTTCACGTTTTACAACTATTTTGTCGTGAGGAAACGAACTCGCCATTCTCAGTTAATCATAGTAGGCTCCAGCAAAGTCTAATCTGGTCTGTAATCAAACGAGCGACAGACAAAATGGGCGACCTTTGTTGAAAAAAGGGCGACGGCGCTGTTGGAGATCAACTCGCTTAATCAGAGTTAATTTCGAAGGTGATTCAAGACACGAAAGGTTGCTAAGAACTAGAAGGAAAATTCGTTTAAAAGGAAGTGTAAGTACAATTTAACAACCAGGACATAACTTTTAGAAAATTTCAATGAGGTTTTTCGAAGGAATTACACAAGAACCAAGAGAATATATTCTCTTGGAAAAAGCCAAGCGTATTGCTCAGCAAGGTGCCGTGCCGATTGTTTGTAAAATGACAATCTTCCAAGACGGTTCTAAAGTTCTCGTCTCTGGCGGAAATATTATTCAAATTAATTTCATAGTTTCAATTTTTAGAACATTACGTTCTGTGGATCGAATCACAGGAAGAAATGAGTTTAAAACAGGCTCAAGCTACATTAGTAAATGATATCCTATAAGATTGAGGATCGAATTCGGCCGGCGTTTTTTAACTATCCACGTATTGGCATAAGTTACGTTATCACGCATAGGATGAGCATATGTCTGTTAGACTGAGTCAGCGTCTTTGCACGTGTATCATAAGTGAAATTTTATTATTATGTTTAACCTTTAACCAGACACAGAAGCCGCTAAGACTTCTTAGCGCCAAGATCATACGCCCGTTTTAGTGGCGTCCGCTCCGGCTGGGCTGAAAACCGAGTAGGTGCTGAAACCCACACGATAGTGAAATAAGCAATAGAGTAAATATCTCTTTACAAACACCTCCACTCGACTGTAGCAATAGCAACTTGAAAGATCACGGAATTTTTTTGCTTAATTGCACTATATCTTTTTTGATAGCAAAGAGAAGGAGTAGGGGGAGGCAAAAGTTACATAAAACATAACAGACGTAAAACTTGGTATTTATCCTTGGTATTTACCCCCACTCCCTACTTGCTTTTCAGCCTATTCTGTCTGGAATGAACAATGATGAAGGGGTTTTGAATGTTTTACTGAAGAATTTATGTTGGAGCTCGAGGAAGGGGGGAGTCCCCTACTTTAATCATGAAGGATTTCCTCTATCTGGAGCTCTTCGCAAGTGCGACCTTGTTAAATAAGAAGCGAACGCGAGACCAGAATCAGCAAGTCGATGCTAAGTAGAATTTAATTTTTTTTGTCTTGTCACGAGCGTGACAAGACAAAAAAAAAAATTGTGTCGCCATGAGGAATCGAACCTCAGACCTTCAGATTCCGCGCTCCGATCACTGAGCCACAGAGAACTCGATGGTGAGCGAGGCCCATTAAGGAGTTAATATATATTGTTTGCCCGCATTTTGCTTTCATTAGGAAACGTGAGCTTATCTTTTCTTGCTGTTAGGAACCATTCGTTATTTACAGCCTGGGATGAGAGGGGGAAAAAAATTTTTTTTTTGGGGGGGGTACATGGTTTTCAGAGGGAACGGGGGAGGGACAAAATATAAAGGGGGACTGAGAAAATTGACTTCCTCTCTCCCTCCCTCCTCCTCTTCAGGTAATAAATATTGAGCAGTTACTCGTGTGGTATTTTTTTTATCAAATTGAGTTCAACACTGGCGAGGATGGGGACTTTGTATACTGAGTCCTTCAAACTGATAGATATAGATTTGTTACTCGTTTCTGTGAATTAGGCAATAGATTTTCACCACTTGAGGCACGATGAGTGGTTCTACAGTTATCTTTTGGTAGTTTATGTCGCAAAGGACATCATTCTGTAGTCTACACTAAAACAATAGATGGCGACAGTGAAGATGCCCTATTATTGGCTACCCAAACTCCGAAGATCCTTTGCTATTCATCTCGCGTGGGATTTGCGCCCGAAAATATTGTAATCGTTGCAGGACTAAATGAGTTGAAATTATCTTTTTGTCTCACAGTTTTAGAATACACCAAAACAACTATTCACCAAAGTGGTGGTGGCTAGCGGTAGATATTTACCCCAAAGCTTCGCGGCTCGGGGAATATCCGTTATTAGCTACCCCTACTTCGGTGAACACTTGTTACAGACAATTACAGACAACTTGGATCGCTTTGCACATATTCTTTTGCTTTTGTCAGTATTTTTTCCTTGCCAAACAACAGAGAAACAAGAATAAAAACTATTGATGCCAAAATGTGTGCAGGAAATTGCCAGGTTTTGCGACGGCAATCCTCTTTTTCACCTCCACTGACGTCAGTAGATCCGTACACAAACCCTAAACTGTGAGAGGAAATCTCAAGATAATTGTTGAGCAACCTAAAGCCATACAACAATAGGAGTAAAGGAAATAATTTACAGATTTGCAGACCAGGAAATCAATCAGTTTTTAGAATCATTCGTTTTTAGAGTCTCGCCTAATTTTTAAAAATCGATCTCGATCATCTAATTAGGCTGGGTTTGAACAGACAGGTATCAAGCTAAACAGGGCAAAATTGAAAAGTTCTGTGCCGTGCTACTTTAAAATTATTTCATATATGTATTTTTTAATGCAATCTGCCCGGCTGGCACTAGATAAAACAGCGCTTGATTTGAGAAAAACACCTGCAGTCTTTTTTATCCTCGCCGCTTGACGAAACGACAACAATGTCTGGATGAAAAATCACTCCGAAGAATGACATGCAGGTAATCCTAAGCAGCCTTCCTCGGGCGAATTTTCTTAATCTTTGTCAAGGCATAAACCTTGCGCGATGAATCAAGTTTTTAATTATAGTACTAAAGTCACACCTGGCTATGATTGGTCACTTCTTTTCCTCGATGACGTCACATGCCCTATGAATGGGTTCAGTTATCAATCATTTTCACTTACGCCGTAGCTGCTAATACTACTACTCGAAGCACACTTCTCTTGGCTGTAAGTTCATCTTTGGATACCCTGAACCAACACTTCCACGAGACACCAACACGTTCCCATAAAAAGCTACGAAACTGTGTTTGCTTTACCGAAAGAAAATCTAACCATAAGGTACGATTTTATGATCCATTGTTTTTAAGATGAGTGTTTATATATTATATGATTTATTCTGAACATATCTACCGAGTGTTCGAGCGCCTCGGAGTAAAATTAATCGGTGAATCGGTGAAATTTTCTGATTCAAAGCATTGATCGCTAGAAACAGGATTTACGTCGTTCGATCAGGTGATGAGAAGGTAAATATGAGATTTTCGAGAAGAGAAATCTAAGTTAAATGACGCTCTCTCTCTCTCTCTTGCTTAGAAATCAGTTTGCTGTATATGCTAATTTCTTTCTTAACGTAATAACCTTTCGTTTTTGATATGTACGTTCTTGTCTGTACGCCTCCCTCGTCGCTTGGGGTTAGATTTTCATAACCCGACTAATCTTCATACAATTTATCTGCAGAGTCACTGCGTGATCAGTTCATGTTGAAATTTAACCGTCCGATAATTTTTTCCGGCGAAAAAGTTTTGTTTCTAACTGACGAACATTGCCGTTTCGAGCGTAGTGACGTCATGGCGTTTTTCATCTCCGCAGCTGTCTATTGCGAACCTGCGCGGAAAATTTTATAATTATTTATCGTGTAAAGGAAATCGAAAATGCTAGTTTTCAAATCACGTACAGAAAAAGGGTGCATATCTATTCTTGTGAGTAAGCTTTATGAAAGAAAATTCGTGGTTAAAATATTTATGTTAGTTTTATCTCCCCGTCAAGTATAAAATCTTCGCGGCCAAAGGAGCTTATTGTTGAGCCGAACAGATTCGCTTACGTTTAAGATTACTTTTCTTTCTGCGACATTTTCATTACAGTACTTTCAGTCAGGAATGATTAAAACTGATTTTGAAAGCTTGAGAAAGTATCAAAAACGCTACATCTGTTTAAAAATTCGAGCAAAAAATTTTGCACCAAATAAAAGGATACACTTATGTGCTGCATATTTATGAAATAAAACATTAGTTTAGATAATAGCTGTAAAACATATCCCTTTATCAGTGAAATTAACATCATTTGTATTTAAGCAAAG